TGGCAGCTCCCGTCCCGAGCTGCGTGCGAATGCACGAGTCAAGGTCGGCTCCCGCGCCGTGACGTTGAGACCCCAAACGAGGTCGCTTGTAGCTGCGGTTGTCCCTACCAGGAGGGCTGTCCCACCCCAGAAGCCTTGCCGACCCCCCAGGGTGGCTCTTAGCCTGTCCCAAGCTGTCCCGCGGAAGCCAGCGGCAGGCAATGGGGAGGGACGAAATGCAACGCAATGCAACGTCTCCCGGGGCGAAACGCGGCCTCTTGCGCTCTTCTGTGCCGTTTTCAAGGCAGTTTCGAGCTTCAGGGTGAAGTAAATCTTCTTTCTGCTCGTAAAGAGTTGATCTGTTGCAGCCCGGTGTTTTCCTGTAGGCAGATCCCGGACCGGTTCAAACACCTGGCTGCAGGTATATTCTACTCGCGCCTTGTAATTTCTGTGCAAGCGTTTGGCTGATCTAAGACGTTTGTTCTCTGGCTTGATCTACATGTGCGTGTTCAGCTCACTTGTTTCTGGGAAGTTTTCTTAGGGAGAATTGGCAGGTTTGAGAGATTTGTTGCTAGCTTATCGTTTCCTCATATTAGAGACCTACAGGAAAGTACCCTGCAGTTACCGCCTCTCACAGGGACGCGGCTTGCATTCGCACCTGCAAAACTTTTTTTTTTTTCCCCTTCCTTTCTCTTCTTCACTACAGTTGGCTTCTCTTTCCCCCTCTTTTGGATGAAACTACAGAATGTGAAATAGTGGATCTTCTTGCAGTTCACTTCCTTGGAACAAATGTAGGTTCTGTTTGTCCAGGGGAGCGCAGAGAGCCCCGATCGGCTCTCGCTGCGTCTCTTGTCCGTTTGTCCAGCGCCTCGTCTTCAGCTGTGAGCACTGCTACGTGCTTCAGGGAAGCCGGTGCAAGAGTTCCAAAATGGGCAATTAGCAGAATAATTTGCTAATCAAAGTTTCCACCTACTCTTTCTTCTAGAGAACGGCTGATTCTTTGAGGGCTTGTATCTCTTCAACTCTTGAGAGGCTTTGCTGTCTTCTTCTCACTCAGTGCTAGTTGTTCTTATTCGTGGCTCCGTTCAGCTCATTCGTACTCGGTTCTGCAAAAGGCTTGGCCGTAGCGATGCTCTGCAGCAGTAAGTTTCGTGAAGTTTGCTGCCGTTTTTAATAAAGATAGCGTTGCCTTTCCTCAACGTAAGCGTGCTGCTCTTTAATTGCACTGACGGGGTGAGGGCTGTGTCTGTGTTTCTCTCTCCCCGTTATTTTTGCATATTCATGTTTTGCTTGTTAGTTATTTGAGACTGCTGTAGACTAAGAGGTGATCTCTCCGTAATGATGGCTTTTTCTAAGTGGATGTAGTTAATTTAAACCCTAAAAATACGGATGCCTGTTTCCAATCGTTCTTGCTGTGGTGCATTACCATACATTCGCCAAACGTGCCTTTAATCTGCTGTTCCCTCTGCTGATCGGGGCGTTGATCGCAAAAGCGCTTCCAGGCGGCCCCGGGGCGGCCCGCTGGGACTTCCACCCGCTTCCTAATCCTTTCCGTTCCGACTATTCCTTGCTCGCCTAAATAGCGTATGATTGCCACGCGCGATGTTAAAACGCAGGCACCTATGCTGAGGAGCAGCGTTGCGCTTCCGGTTTTGGGGGAAGAAGGAGAAGTTGGAGTTGTTCTGATCTTTTTTAATTAGCGGCGGCGTTGAGCGTGGTCGGTGGAGGCGGCGTGGAGCCCTTTGCTTTGGCTCTTTCTGGAACTTAAATAACTTCAACGAGGGAGGTGTTTCCATTTTAGCAACTTCCCTCTTCGCCAGGGTAGCGTCTTATTTCAGGAACCGTTTCGCTCGTAGCTCAGGGATAGAACGTCTTGGCTGGTGCGTGCACAGATGGAGGAAGGAAATGAGGAGCGATGGCTGAGTTTTTAATTAAAGACGCGGAGCCAGAGCTTGCTTTTGGAGTGTACTGGGCGGTTTTATATAGGGTGTGGAGATTCAGCAGCTAGATGGAACCGAATTAGTAAAACTGTCTCCGCCACCAGGGTGTTTCTATGGTAACTGTCTCTCAAATCATATATACAAACAGAACTGGCAGGGGGTACCTTGTTTTATTTGGTCTGTAAGAAACCATCAGAGAAGGGATATTTTCAGGCCATAGAAAGGCCTTGCCATGTACGTTTTTTGTTTTGCATATATATATATATATATAAAAGAATATGTATAAAAACTTACTTTCTGGTGGCTGGTGTAAGTTTGGGGCTCTCTGCCAAAGATGAATGCATTACTGAGGCCGCTCCAGGTAGCGTGCGTTAGCTGGCTGCTGTTGCTCTGGATCGGTGCGGACGTCATCACCGTGACGCTTGCCGGGGCTTGGGAATGCACAAGGAGTTTCCGTATGCATCGTGCAGCTCATAACCATCTCGCCACGGCGCATAGTTAATAACCTCTCGCCTGCCAGGCAGGTAGACGGTATTTTACGTGGCTTTGGTGCTGAGCAAAGCCAACTATAAATTTGTTTTTCCCTCTCCGGGTGGTAAAGTAGCAGAAAGTTGGAGGCTCCTCTTTCAGCCGAGTACCTGGTCAATTAAGGGAAATTACCGATCTGCTCAAATTAGCAGTGTGAGAACGGCCAAGACGGCTGCGGCGCTCAGCCTGACTGACTCTCTCTCTATAAATCCTCTCCGTATGTCACTTTTACTGGTGGAAAAGTGAATGAATGATCGATTTAGCCTACTGCCCTCTTCTTGAAATGTAGGGCAATTATTGTGATTTTTTTTTTTTCTGGTCCAAAGCGAGGTACTGCTAAAGTAGGGGCCATTTCCAATCAGAGGTGGTTATTTTCTTGTGACCATCAGTCCCATAAGGGCTCCCTTCTATTTGGATTCAGAGAAAGGAGAGTTAGCAAAAGGTCTGTGCTAAATAATTATTTCACTTAGGAGTATCTTGGATGCTCCCTGAAATAACCCCAGCGTGGCAAGGTGCATAGTGCTATTTGTCTGGAATAATTTCTAAACTGTGCCTAGTAGCTGCAAGCGATAATGCCTCTATTTGCGTTGGGCTTGACTTAGGTAATTGTGGAGAGATTGTACCAAAAAAGGTTTGTGCAGGTACGTAAGACTTAATACACCTGAGTGCGCAACCTTTCCCATTGTAGCAGCTTTTAAATCTCTTCAGTGAAAATGACGTATTGCGCATAAATTACGAGACTGACAGGAGCGCACGCTAACCTGTAGGACGTGAAAAACATGTTAATTTTTGTTTGTTTTTCTTGTTTTATAATCAGGCGTTTGCAGAAAGCTTTGCGTGATTTATTCTTTTCTTTTTAATGAATTGTTAAAAATGTTTGAGAAGGCATTAAATCTTCCCTTCTGCCATTAATCTGTAAAAGGGGAAGGGGATTTTAAATGGCCTCTTAGTATATTGCTTTATAAAATTGCTGATTCCAGCAGCACCAGAATGGGAATACATACTAATGTAGGAAACACTGAATGCAGCCAGAGCCTCCTGCATTTATGGAGGAAAAGACTAATAGCTCCGTTTTAACAAGGCTCTTAACACTTTGGGCCATCAGCAGGCATTGAGTGAGTGAAATGGGGAGAGCTCCTGCACGCTAAAAGCATTGAAGTTCAGCATCGCGTACCCCACTTGGAGCCCTCTTGCAAGAATTTCGCTCTCCGGCCAACTCCGCTTGCCATCTTGAAAACAAACCAAGCAGCGAGCTGGCATTTTGACTGAGCGCACTAATGCTTCCCTTCTGAAATGGCACCGGAGCGTGATAAATGCACTTAACTCCCAGCTGGACGCTGAGCTTTGCAGTGGTGTTATGGAAAGTTTCTGGGTTTGTGTTAAGAATGAAAGGGCAGCTTATTGATGTCGCATTTTATACTTGCGCAAAATGCAAAAAGGGAAGAAAAACAGCAAACTTGATACGAATACGCTGACTTTGATTCAAATACTTAGGCTGCAGGTATCAGAAGGCGTGTGTTTGCTTAATTAGATTGCCACCTGATAGCGCTGAATGCAAGGAGGACGAGTGACCAGGAAAGGAGCAGCAGTATCGCAGTTGGCACACGGACAAGGCAAAGGCTCCGAAGAATGGACCTGTTCTAAAGAGCTGCTCGATACGGAGCCCTTTCTCGTTAGCCACGATAAGATTATGGGATTTGCAGCTTCTTTGAGCCCCTGCCTTCCTTTTGTTGATTTTGGCATGTTGCAGCATCATGTGTTCCCTGCTTATCGCTTCAAGATGCATTGTTAGTAACTGGGGTGTATAATTGATCTTCATCTCTAATTACTCTCCTCTCCACAGGTGCCTGGAAAAGGTCCAGATGGGAGCTCATACAGCCTCCACTTCGAAGGGATGGAAAGGCAGTACGCATCCTTGCCCAGGTACGGTGCCGAGCCCCGGACACACACGTGCTTAGGGAAGTCAGCCCAGAGCTGATGTCTGGCTCCAAAGTGAGAGGTAGTAGTGCAGTTTTGTCTTGCCACCTTTTGCTGATTTAATGCTGTCTTTATAACTTTATTAATAATTTGAACAGTTGATCTTTTAAAAAAAAAAAAAAAAAGTATCCCTCACTGAACACATCAGCAAGAGTCGTGATCCACAGGGAGGGAACGTGATGGTAAGGAAGCCGGCTCTGCAAGAGTTAGAGCAGGTCATTGCAGGGCACAACTGTGACCGACTTTATAGTGATATAATCCCAGCTGGCAAAGACGGAGTACTGCTGTGGAAAGTCTCTGCTACAGCAGCCACAGCTACTGAAGTCCCACCGTGGCTGCAAAGACCATCTGACTAGCAGTGCTGTTCCTGGAGACCATCTCTGTGCTTTAGCTGAGCACTGCGGCAAGGAGAGCGAGTTCTCTGAGAGCTTTTTTTAAATTTTTAATCCTTATCTACTCAATGAGGAATAATTCTAATCTGAAACCAGTGGGGCATAACAAAAAGGAAGCATTTCTGAGATTTCAGTCCCGTTTCTGTGGGAGTTCTAGTAGCAGACTGTGAGATTTAGCAAGCCAGAGAGAGGAGTGAGAGAGCATTAGAGGAGATAGCGGGAAGCAGAGTGGGAAAGAAAACAAAAAATGGAAAATATTCTTCCTGAGCCTCAGAAAGCTGGAAAGGACCTCCAAGAGGTCGTCGCTCAGTCTACTCGCTGGACCTACAAGCGAGATCAGTTCCTATATAAAAGCAAAGCAAGAAGAGTCGTTTACAACCCAGAAGAGATTTTCAGTTATGAAGTACTGTGGTGGCATTTTAGGAAATCCGTGAAGGTGCGTTGTTCCTTTTCTTTTTGCTTCTTCTTTTTTCCCCTGAGCTGTTTACATTTGAAGGTGTTCCTGCAAAGACTGATGGAGAAATATGTAACGCTGCGTCCAACTCCAAATGAAAATATAAAGAATATCTTACTTTGGAAATCAATGTAAAGGCTGTCTCACTAAAAATTGTTGGAAGTCTGTAGGCATTTTGAATGTACGTGGTTTCTCAACCAAAGGATGTGTCTATAGTTTAGTTACTGCCTTCAAATGGCATTTGTGTCAGCCATCGTTTTGGAAATTTCTCCTACGAAGTAGGACACTCATGTCTTCTGTCATGTTTTTAGCAAAGATTTTTGCCGGTTAGTTGCATGTAGTTCAATTATACATCGTCTTTTTATCTATTTTAAATTTCAGTTTTACTGAGTATCTACTTCCTTGTGAATTACAAGAATAAATTAGCAATTGGCACCCAGTGTAACTCTCTACAGCAAGTTTTGCATTCCTCTGTCATGTCTCCTTTTATTCATCTTCCTTCCGAGCTAATCAGCCTTATTTTTTCCGATCATTTTAAAATGGAAATTTCCCACTGAAATTACTTTCATCACCCATATCTGAATACCTTTTATCTCTGCTATATTCCTTTTGAGCTAGGATGACCGGAACTCAGCACAGTGTTCCAGATGGAGAGAGACCCTTGATTTCCACGGCAGTCGAGCGCTCTGTGTATTCCTTCTTTCCCCTTCGTTTCTAAAACTCTTGGCCTCCTCAGCGCGTCCCCACGAGCGTACTGTTCACCGCTTCACCATGTTCTTGCAAAACCTCCGTTTAACTTGCTGGAAACATGACTCGTAGGTCTTATGAGAGGCCTGAGCGCTTAGCTGGCTCGGACCAACGATTTAGGAAGTCATCCGAAGGCTCAGCGGAGATGGGAGCGAAGCCTGTCGCGCTCTCCAAGAGGATGATGCCGTCGAGGGAGGCGGAGTGCGCTGCAGCGGAGTTACGCGCTCTGCGTGAGCCGCGGGGCCACCCGAACCCTGGGTGCGCCGGCGCTCGAGCAGGCCGCCCGCTGGGGTGTAGACCCATGTTTTGTAAGTTTTGCAGTTTCACGTTACCGCAGTAATTAAGCCCTGGCAATCACAAATGACTAGATTGCTAGAGTGAAGTCTAAATCCGAAGGAAGGGGATGCAGTCGGATTGCCAGCCACTAATGGAAATGAGTGATTTCTTTGTTCGCATGGCTGAGTGCCCAGAAGTACAGAGGAATCCAGGTAAAAACCACTACTTGCCAACCTGTTTTCCGTGGAGGAGCCATGAGCACTACTAAAATGGGCAGCAGTAAAAAAAAAAAAAAAACCTCAAGAGAAAGAAATAGGGGTGCATCCTGCAGCGGTGGTGCTACAGAGCTGGTAGCTCCTCAAAGAGCATCTTTCTGCTCCCTAGCAATCTTGTATTCATTCATGCTGTCGTGCCTTTGGGTTTGTTCCCCTCCTTATCCAGTTCCTGATCTTAGTCAAACCACTAAGTTGAATTTTTTTGGTTTGGACTTTAGCCATTTAAGTCCTATTTAATAAAAGATACCTAAAGAGGCCTCAGATGATAGTTGTAGATGCTGGGAAGCAGATTCTTATTGCAATGTTGTGTTGAAACGGCCTCTCCCTGCAAGTCTGGTGCGGCATGATGCAAAGGAAGAGAGGAAGGCACCCCCCCCCCCCTCCGCCGGGATGGGGGGGTTCCCTAGAGGAGGGAAGGAACCAGTTGCATGTCAGGAGGAGCTGGTGGTGCTTGCCCAGGGAAACTGCTCTGCTTCCTCAGAAGGCAGCAGGAGCTGCCTAGGAGCACGCGTGGGCCTGGAAAGATGGAGGAGGAGAGCTTTGGTTTCCTTTCCCACTGGGCAGGAGGGAGCAAGGATCACCAGCCTGATAGCTTTGTAACTGTGCGGCGCCCCTGAGGCACTACTCCTGTTCCTGCGCGAAGGCTGAAGGCTGCATCCTGCGCAAAGGGAAAGTCAGACCGTCAGCAGCATCCACCAGCGTGCTGGGCTGTTAAGTCTGAGCTTTAAGACATCCTTGGTGCTTTGCCGTCTAGGTTTGTATTGTTGCCATCTTTCCCTGTAGCTGCTAATTTAAGCCTAGGTATTATGGGCCAGGTTTCAGGTGACGTGCATCTGTATTGAGTGTATTTGAGAAATTCAGCTGTGTCAAGTGTGCTTGCCTTCTCAGTAGACCCCGCAGCAAATCCAGTGTCCCAGTCTCACTGCGCTCAGCGACGCCCTTTTTGCCTTTGATGGGTGTAGGATCTGTTCCTGTGTAAGGTTACGTTTTTAATTAAAAGCTGAAAATAGGAGGCAGCAGTCTTTGGAGGAAGGCTTTGTATGTGACTGGCCTAATGAGTCGCCAGCTGAGTTATGTAGTTAAGTTTCTGGCTAAAATAATGCCAGTCTGTGGACTTTCTTTAGAAATGTCTACGGAGGCAGACATTATCTCCTGAATGAGATGATCGGTAAGTTGCTGTGGCAGGAGAGTGGCAGCTCTTCATCTCGCGCTGCATTGTGCTGCGCTGTCTGCGGAAAAGCAGCAAAACGGGAAAGACAGACAGGAAGGCTTTCTGAGAGAGATACAGTTCTTTGCACTCGAGAGTTATGTGTTGCCCTGGGGCTAAGGCTAAGTAGTGCTGAATAGTATTATTAAGCGATGTTAAATCCTCCCACTTAGGAGGAGAATGGCTTGATTCTTACACTCCCTAGGCTTCTCTTTTGGGAAAAGGAGTACGGCAAGGGTGTGGGAGCCAGGAAAACATTTGTGTTATTCCTTTTTTCTTTAAAAAAAAAAAAAAAACAGCTATTTTTAATGAGCATTCTCCTGGTGTAATCCAAAATATTTTCCCGATGAAACTAAGGAACAGGTAGGAAGCTGAAGCTACTCTGTTTGTTCATAGTTTTATTTTTGAGCTCGCTTTTAGGGAAGCGTGTCTTAATGTAAATGAGAAGCTTGCCAAAGGCAGCCTTGGTTGGAGAAGTCTCACGTCCGGAAGCTGTACCCTTTGCTCCCTTGGTAGAAAAGCTGGCTGTGACCCGAAGCGGAGACTAGCAGACGCTGAGCCAGGACGCTGCTTGGCACCGTGAGCGTAGATCAAGCAGCTGAGCCACCTTCCTGGTAAGACATGGTGGCTCCAAAAGAAAGTTGGCGTTCCAGACTTCCTCTGGAATCCCCATGTTACTGAAGAATGAGCGCTTTTGTCAAGAAAAGGGGTGGGACTGGAAAGGCACTTAAGAGCGTTAGGAAATAACTCCCAGCGTGGAAAAATGCGTTCAGGCTGTGAAGATGAGCTCAGCTGTATTTCAGGGTCTGGGAGGAGATCACTGAGCAAACTAGTAACTGGTCCACGGGAATATCTGTGGTAAATGTAACATGCACCTTGAAACTGGCAAACGTATTAAGGAACGAGCCTTGCAGGACGGCGGCAGCACATAGCCTTGCCGTGCTGGAAGCTTCTGTTCGGATTGACCATGCAACTCGCGCTTCTTCAGGCAGTAGCTAAAAGCAGCACATGCTCAGTTTCCAGGTAAGATGCCGAAAGGACCATTTTGATCTTCTAGTCTAAGCCCTCCAAGACCCTCTGTATTTCTGCATCAAAGTAAAGCTCGATTTTGATCCATAGCGTTAATTTGTAAATGCATTTACAGAAGCATCTAAGCTAGAATTAAAATTTCAGGTAGTGGAGAATTCATGACATTCTTCAGAAGTTAATGATTTCACAGTTTAAAGTATTGCGCCCCTCCCCTTTATTTTGGTCTAAAATTGTCCAATTTCAGTTGCCAGGAACTGAGGGTTTTTTTCTGCTAGATGTCAAGATCTAAGCAGTCTGCAAAATCCTCCCCCCCCCCACCCCCGGCCTCAGTGCTTCTGGGCAGTGATCATTTATGTCTTCTTTAAACCTCCCTTTCAATAATCTAACTAGATGGAGCACTTAAGTCTCCCACTACAAAGCATGACAAGAGCATTGGCTCAAGGGGCTGGGGTCCCCGTGCTGTCAGTGTATGAGGTATCCTGTACAGTGGAGTCAAAAACATTTCCAACTGTTTGGATCAAAAGCAAGGTTTCCGTAACAGCTATGTCATAAAGAGATAAGGATCC